GGTACGAGACTCGAGCCTGCAACCTTTGGGTTACGAGTCCAACTCGACAAACCATTAGGCCACGACTGCCCCACACTTGATCTTAGCCAAAAGACCGAGAAGCGATATTAAGTATGATTCTGATGAAGACCACTGTGTCCACCTTGACCTGTCTCTGCCGTCCATTGCCTGAGTGCACAGAGAGGATGAGGCCCCCCGTACCACACAATCTTGAAGCAAGAGCAGGTGAACACGTGCGGGACAATCTGGCTGCTGCTGTGTCTGCTCCAAACATTTGTGTGCCTGCTCTCCATGAGTACGACTACATTTACACAGAGTAAAACATTTGACAATTAATGTTGTCAGCATTTCATTCACTACTTTTGTGGTGTAGTGGGCTAAAGCACTGCACTGGTCAGCAGAAGGTTGCTGGTTCGATCTCCGCAGTCGTCACCACCGCTGTGTCCTTCAGCAACGCTCTTTACTCCAGGTCGCTGCTGGGGGATTGGGGTCCCTGTAATAAGAGCACTGTAAGTCACTTCGGATAAAAGTTTCTGATAAATGTAAATGTGATTTTTGTAAATCCTTTTTTGTGTCTTGGGTACAAACGCTCAATAAAGCTGCTTATTTCTTAAAGTTTATTTCTTCAAGGTACTACTCTTTCTTTTTGGGGTAAAGGGTTAGTTCCAAACATATAAATCCAGTCATTATTTACTCACCTCACTGTTCAATCCTTGGGGTATTTTTTATTTTTTCCTGAACACAAAAGTTGATTTTAGTTAAGTTTGTCCTGCTGGTTTCTGTTCATACAATATCAGTCAATGGAGCCTGACTTTCAGAAGCTTCATGACTTTATTTGATGATGCTTTTGAAGCTTCTGGAACTCGGGCTCCATTGACTGATGTTGTATGAGCAAGCCAGCAGTACAAACTTGACCAAACTCACATCCTCAGTGTCTTTTGGTGTTTCTCTAGATTTTCTCGCTGGCTCTGGGGTCACTGATGATAAAGAGACCACAGCAACATCCGGTCCTGATGAGACAGTAAGAGGTGGAGTGATGGAGCATCTCATCCGCGGCACTGGACCATTTCCAGGATGCTGCTGTGGACTCCTCCATCCTCACAGCTCACACCAGTCTGCGGACATTTCAGATCCTATAAAAATGCACAAACACAATACAAAAGCAGTCACTTGCACAATGTCATTTGATTTCTTTATTAGAAGTAACAGAATGATCTTACTTTATATTTTTGTTTCAGGTTTTCCCTTTTTTCCCACAAATGCTGCCGTCACCTTTCCTTGCAGGTCCTGCTCCCCCACAAAAGCTCTTCAGCAAATGCACAGGAATCAAGGATCAGAAAAGTGCTGTGATAACTCTGTTAGAAAACACTCTCTGTCTTTCTGTTGAGTCCAGACATGTCTTACCCCTCCTTTTTCTCCCTCTCTCTCATTCTTATATATACAACGCATTCTCTCTGAATTCCTCCTTCTGTATCCATCTCTCTCTCTTGATATTATGTTTTAAATATGTCTTACTTATATGCGAAGTATGCATGCTTAAATGTATACATTAGCTTCTCTTGTTTTTCTGTCCCCAATAAAGACATGAATGTTAGGACTACAAGGGTAAAGGAGTTCGTGATGAAACCATGAAGACAGTTCAGCATTCTTCGCAAAAGTCTATTCCTAATATGTCCATGTTTTTCTGTACATGTGGCTATTTTATATAAACACATGTTCTTGGCCAAAGATCCTACGTGTATGTTATTCATATCCTCATTGGTTAAGAGGATGAAACTCCCCTCGACATATGCCTATATAATATCTGTATTTCTATGAATAAATTGAAGTATTGAGGATACATTTGACTGTGTGTTTTCTTACTTCCCGGCCGTATTTACACTTTAAGGAGACTGAGAAAAGTTCAAGGTGGCAAAGAGAATTTACAAAGGGACCAAATTGTTATTCTTTATTAACAAATGAGGGCTCGTCCTTCCGGGAATTTCTCAAAAAGACAGGTAAGAAACTTTAATTTTTCTTCCTGTCTGTAAGAGAAATTGAATGTATTCTCGTTTGCAATTTGATTGTGTCATATTTGGCATCAATCTGTTTTCCTCACATTTTAGATGTGGGACGAAGAGTGAGAAGCTTTCCGTTTAACCTATCTATTTAAAAATAGAGTAGTGGGAAAGATTATAATTGCTCATTCTTGCCGTGAAGGGTTCTCGGTCTCTTAAGTGATTTCATGAATAATACAGAATTGAAAGTTTTCTTTTGGCCAAAAATATCAAAAAGTTAATATAAGACAGCGGTCTCTATTTTGTGTTTTGTTTGGCCATTCTATAAATTGTGAAAAGTGCACTAAAATTGACGAGACATCTTTGATCTCCGACTTACATTTTTCGAGTGTAAAATTAATAGTCTTCTCCAAAGGCGAGATCTTCTAGCAGCTGATCAATGTCTCCTTTGTGCAGATATTACAAACATTGCAAACGCTGAGGAAAACCGTACTAGGTAGGGTTGTGGAGTTACTGATAAGAATAAATAAAAGTAACCATGACAATAAATAAATATCATCGTCACATGAAAAGTCATCAGTTTGTGCTAACAAACATGCATTTACATGCGGTGAGCCCACATCTACTGCATCTCAACATAGCGGAGACAGTTCTGCAGCTTTATGTGAAATGTGACGTGACATGTGGCCAAGTATGGTGACCCATACTTGGAATTAGTGCTCTGGGAATTTATCCCATCCAAAGTGCACACACACAAACCGTGAACACGCTGCTGCCCGGGGAGCAGTTGGGGCTTCGGTGCCTTGCTCAAGGGTACCTCAGTCGTGGTATTGAAGGTGGGAGAGAGCGCCGTACATTCACTCCCCCCACCTACAATCCCTGCCGGTACGAGACTCGAGCCTGCAACCTTTGGGTTACGAGTCCAACTCTCTAACCATTAGGCCACGACTGCCCCATACTTGATCTTAGCCAAAAGACCGAGAAGCGATCTTAAGTATGATTCTGATGAAGACCACTGTGTCCACCTTGACCTGTCTCTGCCGTCCATTGCCTGAGTGCACAGAGAGGATGAGGCCCCCCGTACCACACAATCTTGAAGCAAGAGCAGGTGAACACGTGCGGGACAATCTGGCTGCTGCTGTGTCTGCTCCAAACATTTGTGTGCCTGCTCTCCATGAGTACGACTACATTTACACAGAGTAAAACATTTGACAATTAATGTTGTCAGCATTTCATTCACTACTTTTGTGGTGTAGTGGGCTAAAGCACTGCACTGGTCAGCAGAAGGTTGCTGGTTCGATCTCCGCAGTCGTCACCACCGCTGTGTCCTTCAGCAACGCTCTTTACTCCAGGTGGCTGCTGGGGGATTGGGGTCCCTGTAATAAGAGCACTGTAAGTCACTTCGTAAGTCACAAAAGCTCTTCAGCAAATGCACAGAAATCAAGAATCAGAAAAGTGCTGATAACTCTGTTTGAAATTACAATAATTAAAATAAACTACAACTTAAGATTTAAAAGATGTTTTATTCATTTCTGTAGTATACTCACTCAAAGCCTTTGATGGCAGCGTTCCACTTTCTGGTGAAGAGGGCTTCGTTAGGCGCTCTCGTCTCCGCCGGATAAGCAGACGCGTGTCTCATCTGTCCCTGTAACATCCAGACAAGAGTCAAGTTACCTCTGAGATGTGTGTGCTCAAAAGTATTAAGTAGTGTTAAGTAGCTGTTTTTCCAACACAAATGTTCCTCAAAGTGCAGTTCTTCCTAGTTCTTGATACAGTGATGACACAGCTGACACATCGATTTGAACAGGAGGGTCTGCGCAACATTTGTCATGCTTGAAAATGTCCTAATCATTGGACAAGTCAACGACATTGTTGAACTGTGCAGTATGAACGGCCATGTGTCGCTCGAGAAGACATTTGCGTGTGAAACTCTTTCCACACTGAGTGCAGGTGAAATATTTCTTGGCTCTTCTTTTCTTTAAATCTTTCTATTTGGGGTTTTCTGCACTTCTAACATGATTTTTCTCCTCAACTTCACTCAATTCCTCTTTCTCCTCATTATCTTCAATCAACTCTGAAACAAAAGTAAAAACAGTACATTTACTTTGTTAAACTTGTTTAAAAAAACAGAAAAGTGAAAGGACATAATAAATTGAAAGGATACAAAAATGAACAGCAGAAAGTAGACAACTGAATTACAAAATCTTGATAATTTTGATGCAATTTCATAAGTTATTATTTAAACAATTGTGAGGTTCCATTAACTGTTTAGTCAATATGAATAAGTGATAAGAGGGAATGTTTATGGAAATGCAAGGTTTATAGGATGGTGTGAATCAGTTTGGTAAAACACTACTTGTTGGATTTGTGCTGGTCACAAAAAGTCACTGAATACAATCATTTATTTTACCAATCTCATTAATCTCTACTTTATATAATTAATCTTATCATCTCTTTTGCTTCGAAGAACAGGACAGAACCAAAAAGAGATTGTCTCCATTCTTCTGCGTTTTTCCTTCTTCTTCTTATGTTTCTTAATGTCTTTGACACGAGTGCTTTTAATTGGTCTGCAAAGGACACAAGACGATTTCTTGTGATTGATTAGGAGAGTGCACCTCATTTATTGGATCTATTGCATTGGATACAACAGTTATTACATTTTATCATACATTTATATTGTATTACTTTTTTCCTTTATGCATTATTTTCTGTACTTAGTTTTACATGTATTGTTATTCGTTTTTTAACTTTTATTTACTTATTCTCTCATTTATTTTTTTTATATCTATATAATTTATTCATTTATTTACAGTGCTCCTATGGTGCCAACATTAGTGGAGGGCAAAGGCGGCTGCGAAAATAAATCTGCATTGTTTATCTTTTTGATCTTTCATCCAAAAATTGTACCTTTGTAAACGGCACACTTGTAAATAACATCTGCACAATAATCTAAACAATTATGTTTTCCTCCTTTTTTTCTACTTCTGTATAAAGTGCATTTTTAAATTAGTGTTATATTCAATCTCTACAGTGTAATTCTATGTATGTCTAACGTTTACATTTAGGAGGAATGACTTGATCTTCACAGTTAAATGCTCAAATGTTTTAAATACCTGTTTGCAATGCGATTCATGGACAATCGACAATGCTCCTTATATTTGCACTAATCTAGTATTGCTTTTTACCAAACTATTTACAGTGTGCATCCTAACACAGGCAACTCTTTTTTCCCATTTAGTCTAGAAACAGTAAGTCTGAGGATCTGCTGGCTTGCTGAAGTGTACAGAGATTGATCCAAACATAATTACAAACCATACAAACTAACAAAACAATACCAACAACTAGGGCTGGGCGATATGGCAAAAATGTAATCTCAATAAATTTTTTCCATATTGAACGATAACAATATATATTTCGATATAAGTTGTTAATGCTTCCGGCTTTAAAAGAGTATCCCAACAATGACTGAAGCCCCAAAAATTTGAGGGTTCATTAAATTACACTTTAAAAGTATAGTTTATTTTTATTTTTTAAATGCAGGAGTAGCTTGCGATGTGCTCTGACATTCATCCAGCATCTGAGCCACGGCTCTGGATTTCACAGCCTCAGACCTTGTCATCTTTGATGTAGCGTGTCTTAAAACGAGGATCAACAAGAGATGCTATGCTCAGAAGATCATCAGTGGCAGCGTTGTCATATTTCTCATTCAGATAGCTGATGACAGAAGCCTTGATGGTCTTGGTGAGCTCTGAGTCATCAGCTACAGGTTTAAAGACCTCCTCACTGAAAAGATGCAGTACAGGTTTCAGGTACAACACACTCACATATTCTTCACCAGAAAGGGCATCAGTGAAATCAGCAAGTGGGTTTAGAGCCTTGCACACAGATTCCAGAACGTCAATGTCCTGCCATGAGGGAGCTAAGTGCCTTGTTTTTTTATCAGCTGATAAAACTATTGCAATGGCCTTCTCCTGCTCTAGCACACGTGCTATCATGGCATGGCGTGACCCCCACCTGGTGGGTGATTCTGTGATCAACTTGTGCTTTGGCAGCTTGAGCTCCTCTTGAGTGACCGCTAGTTCTCGTTTCTTTTTCCATGAGAAAGAAAAAGCACACACCCATGGCTCTTTGGATTCTCTGGTCTCTCAT